GTTGTCAAGTATAAACCTATTTCTGATAGTACCAAGGTCCTGCTGCCTTTCTGTCTCAATAATACGCTGCCTAAGATTACTCTTGGCCTTAACGTATCCCATTTGTTGGATACTTTCTACCGAATAGCCATATCTGTTGATTTTATGGTATATTGCTCTCTTCCAAGGTGACTGATAATTATCCTGTAATACCAGTGAAGTCAGTCCAGTTGGCTGAAAGGTTAGTTTTAACCAAAAGTTAAAAATAGCTAGCCAAGCTCTGGCTTCAACCTTCAGGTAGCCCACTTCAAGCCTGAGGGCTGCATTGGCTACCCCTCTTGGTACTTGTAATATAGCTCTCACAAATTTAGATTGAACTACTTCTAGCTGGATAAACGAAGAATAGGGGCCCAATTGTGCTCCATACAAAAGCTGACTAAGGGATTTGGCAGAAGGTATTTACCTAGTCATTCTCAGATCTTCATCACTTTGGCCAGCCAGGAATAGAGATGGGAGTATTCGTATACAAATACCCCCACACAGCTGGGCATAATCCATTCAAACGTCTGCCGCTGGCTCCGTTCTCCCTTTCAATCGCTCCAGAGTCAGAACTCCCGGTCAGCTAGCCGCTCCTGGCAGAAGGAGGAAAGACAAGTCTCCTGGCAAGGCTGATGAGTGGATAGCTGACTTGGAGCCCCAGAGCAATTGGAAGGGAGAGCGGTGGCAGACACGTGAGTGGATGATGGTCTGGCGCCAGACCCTCATTATGTCCAGCTGTGCGGGGGTATTCATATACAAATACCCCTATCTCTAGCCAGGAATATCAGCTTGAGTGTATGGCCTGCCACATGTGTGGGACCACTCATCTGTTGAGACAGCTCCATGGATGTCATGAAGTCTAAGGCTGGACTGGCAACTAATGTCCTTGCATATGTTGAAGTCCCTCAGGAGTTCAAACCTGGAGGACCGCAACAGTGCAGTAAAGACAGAGTTGGTCAGCCTTAGTAAAGATAGCGCTGGGTTGCATGAAGACTGCCGGGAGATGTAAAATATACCATAGTTGAAAAAGGTCCATAGGTGTGTTTGCTGAGTAGGAGAAAGAATAGTAGTGACAGTCAGTGAGTCCAGAAGATAGTACAGCCTTGTAAGAACTCGCCAGGTCCAGCATCTCACATATACATCCATCAAGTGTATAGACATGATAAGCTATTTCTGGATTTAGCTCATTGTGCCGTGAAATCAGAGAAAGGAGTACTGTCTTTTGAATTCTTGCATTAATTTTGTTTGCTGGTGAATGAAGAGATCCTATTTTGATTGCAGGTTGCATGAAAAGCCACCCAACTCACACACACTGAGATTAAGTTTAAGCAGTGAGGATTTGAAGCAAGGAATTCATTAAGTTTAAGCAATGAGAACACTGCAGCTAATATCATTTCCCTTGTGCTGGCATAATTTGTGCGAGAAGATTTTGGCCAAAATATTTGAAATGTGAGTGAATGGCTCGCATTTCAGTAATAAATTAAAAATGTATATTTACTTCTGTATCTTTTAGTCCATTTCAGTGTTCAGAGGAAGAACTTGGTCCTTTTTTGGGGGGAATTAATTGCTGCCTTTTATTCTATTGTAGAATGTGCCCACCTGCTTTTGGCCCACAATGCTCCTGTGAAAGTGAAAAATGCTCAGGGATGGAGTCCTCTTGCAGAAGCCATCAGCTATGGAGATAGACAAATGAGTAAGAAACTATCACTGTGGTGTGTGGTATAAGAACAGGAAGTGGGTTTAGCCCAATATCAACTACCAGCTGCAGATCCTGAAGAAAATGTTTTGAATTAAAATCATATAAAATTATATAAAATTCACTTGGTGAACGTTTCTTAAGTACTGATCAGGAGTATTGGAATGAAGCTGGATGCATCCTTTAATGATAGTCCAGGGATGTATTACAGGGGCTTCTGCTGCCCAGAGTGGTTAACTGGCACTAACAGTAACTACAAATAAATTTATTTTATTTATTTTATTTTATTTATTTTATTGGATTTCTACCCCGCCCATCTAGACCAAAGGTCTACTCTGGGCAGCAAATCAGAGTAATATGTAAATATGTCAGTCAGATCTGTGGCTTATGGAAGTGCAATTCTTTTATGACTGACAGAATATTGTTTTGTTAATATCTAACAGTATATTTAATTTTATTCAGTCCAAATTATGGCAGGAGCCTGATTAAGTTACATGTCAAACCTAATTAATATCCAGCATTCATAGAATTACTGATTTGTAGAGTTCATCCTAGGGCACTTAAATATTTAATTTTATGAAATTTGGATAAAATATTTAATCTTGTTACACTATGAAATTAGAGATGTGTAGATATGTATTTATGTTCATTCATTCATAGTTTTCCATTTATATTACTGACCAAGTCATACAGTTGGAACTAGTGTTGAAGCTGATAGGTGTCCAATAATAAAAACAATAAAAAGAGAATTTTTGACATTATTATGACATGTTTGGGCTTATAGTATATATTTTTTAGTTACAGCGCTGCTAAGGAAACTGAAACAACAGTCCAGGGAAAGTGTTGAAGAGAAGCGACCTCGGTTGTTAAAAGCCCTGAAAGAGGTATTTTTGTAAGAGTACCTTTTAAGAATATTCTTTGGGTTTCCTGTCAATGGTTTGTGAAGTGATGTTGTCATCCAGTCCATTTTCCTTTGAATGGCTGGCCCATGGACGATTGGGTCACAGTTGATCAGCAGGAGGGATTTTTGGAATGTTATTATGGCAGATGGATTTTAAATTGCCTATTCTTGCTGTAAAATGTTAGTGCTACTTTTTTAATGGTTTGTAACTGATATGTTCAAAATTTCCACTGTGATTATTTTATATAGCTATTTGCTGAATTAGAACAGGAAGAGAGGGTGATTTGCATTCTCTTTAATATGGTTTATGGCGTTTTCTTTTTCTGCTGGATTATTCCAGAGTCAGTAAACCACTGGGTTTGCATGTTTATGTATACAGTCAACCCTCAACTTACGAACTTAATCCGTTCCGGAAGGATGTTCGTAAGTCGAAAAGTTCATAAGTTGAATCAGCATTTCCCATAGGAATGCACTGAAAACCAATTAATCCGTTCCAGCTGTTTTTGGTACTTAGGTGTAGGGATAGTTTGTAAGTCAAAGCGTTAGTTCCCATAGGAACTAATGCAAAGCCAGTTAATTCGTTCCTACCACTAGGGGCAGCATTTTTCTTTTTTTTCCTTTTAACCTAAGATGATTTAGGTTTTAAAAAAAGGAAAGAAAAGAGGGAGGGAAGGAGGGAACAGACACCTTTTCAACAGAACACCTTAAAAAGCATCTTTGCAATCAAGCCAAGACAAGCACCTTTTGGGAAAAAGGGGGCAGCAAAGGAGGGAGGGAACACCTTTTAAACCAAGCACCTTACAGACAACAGAACACCTGTTCTGCTTCGTCTGCAAGACCCATCAGAGCACAGAAACATACCTCCCCACAGCATGGCACAGAACCCAGCAACCATTCCTCCAGTACAAAAATGCCTGCCTTCCTGAACAAACACCACATCCACTCAAAGAATATTTTCTGAGTTTAAAAGACTCTGGATCTACATTTTAACCACATACAGAGACATTTCAAAACACTGCAAGACATCCCCCCACCTAACCCAACCCCCTCAGGAGGCTGCAAAAAACCATGTACAGTACATACAGTAAAGTAAAAGCATACAGGCAGTCTGTCTACTTAAAAAAAGAATGTCAAAAATAAAAAAAATTAAAAGCCAAAAAATAAAAATACACTCCGTACAGCACTGTACCAGGCAGTACCAGGCAGTCTCCCAATCCACTCTCTAAACGCTGGGAAGAGTGAGGGAGCAGAAAGGCACCCTCTTCGATGGCCATTTAGTTAACTGAAAATTCAAATTTCGCACTTTCCCCATCTCCTACACTTGGTAACTCGAAGCAAAGTTCGTAAGTCGAGGCAATATTTTTCTATCAGAGCGGTTCGTAAGTCGAAATATTCGTAACTAGGGCCGTTCGTAAGTTGAGGGTTGACTGTAGTTCAGTTCTTTCTGTACAGCAGGGTTTCCTTGGGATGGTAATATGGATCTAAAAGTCTGACTGTTCTGGTACATTGCTACAGTTAAGAAGCATGAACTGTTGCGGTCTGTGACTAATAGCAATATGTGATCTGTGTGATCTTTTCCTTGTTGGAAAAATGGTAAAATGTAAAAAGAGATGAGGAACACAAGATCAGCAAAAATTATAAAATGTCATTGAAATATCAAAGATCAAAAAAAGTTGTTCACTAGCACCACTGTGTATATTGCTATATATCTTTGATTGATTATGTCATTTAGGAATGGACATTCAGCACAGACACATGTTTAAAGGAGCAATGATGTCTGGAATCCTGTTTTGTCTTTGTGTAATGTAAAGCCGTGCATGTGTAAATTGGCTGGGCCTTATGCCTAGGCAACAAAGATTGCAGAATTTGATTGCACAATTGGTTTTGTAATTCCTTGTGCAACTAATTGTGTAGTGTGCCTGTGGAAGTGCTTTGTGAATAGCACTTCTGCCTTGCAGCGTTTAGAGCTACACCTTGTGTGGCATCTTGTTACACAAGCATAGGTGCTCAATAAGATTTCAGCCGATGTCTTTGGTGAACTTGCATAATAGTTGAAAAGGCGTTTATCATGGTTGTCTTTTGTGATAAGCAGGTCAGTTAGATATGCAAACTGAAGGGACAGATTCCTTTACTTACTAAAGACCTTGTGATCCACGTGGCCCCTGCTTGTTTCGCCCAACACAGAGCTCATGCAAATACCTCAACAAGTCCTTTACCTCGCTGCCACCAGTTGATCTCTGTCAACACCCTTTAATTAGAAAGATTGAGGTCCAAGTTGAGTATAAAGTTGAACAACACAAGTTTATTGATTACAGTTCGCTTAATCAGGTTCTTCACAGACTTTAATGTATTCATTAGATTAGTAATAACTTGTTTCACTCTTAACTCTCTTATTTCTCTATAAGTTCCACACTCTTAACTCCTAACTCTTCTACCTTCTCTAACTACCACAGATTAACTTTTACTCCAGACTCTCATTTCTGACTCTCTCTTTCGTATCTGCCCCCTGTCTGACTCCTCCTTCTCTAGCCAAGCCTCATGTAGCTGCTGACTCCACTTCTCCAGCCCTCTCATAGGTTCATGCAAATTAGCTTATGAATATGAGTAACATGAGTGATGTAGACCAGTGGTCCCCAACCTTGGGCCTCCAGTTGTTCTTGGACTACAGCTCCCAGAAGCCTTCACCACCACCTTTGCTGGTCAGGATTTCTGGGAGTTGAAGTCCAAGAACCTCTGGAGGCCCAAGTTTGGGAATCAATGATGTAGACAATCGCCACAGACCTCAAGTAATGAAAAAGAACAGGGATAGAATTTTCAGATTTTCTTGGCTATAAATACCATCATTCTCTATTTTGGGAGCTTTATCTATTTTATAGACACCTTACAAATACCTAAATGTGAGACACCTGAAAGACAGGCCTAAATTGGTGGAGTTTGAGACTTAGTTAAGTGTAGCTCTACCCAAGCTTCCTTCTACACAAGCTAGCACTGGGGCAGGAACATGAATTCTAAATGGAGAATTGTGATTCTTTGAGTATAGAAAATCCAAAAATCTCATCCCTAGAAAAGAACATGATCATAGGAAATACTGTTAAGATCCCCCCCACCCCCCAGTAATTTAACGTTGAATGTGTGTTAAGCCAGGGGAAGAGTTTGGAATGTAGTGAATCAAATCCTATTAAACATTTCTGAAATGTCTCCTTCATTCTGAATTTGCAGTCTTATTTATAATGTTGTAATGCAGTGGTTCCCATGGGTCCCCAGATGTTCTTGGATTACAATTCTCAGAATTCTTGGGCAGGACAGCTAGTGGCAAAGGCTTCTGGGAATTTTAGTCCAAGAACAAATGGAGATCCAAGTTTGGGAACCATTTTTCTAGTGTAATTGCCATTGAAGGTTGCTTTTTCTCTTGCCTTGGATAAAGTGTTTTTGACAAATGTCATTGCTATTTTGGTACTGAAGTAGAAGTGTATGAATCAGATCTGTATAAAAGAGGCTCTAAAGCCTCATTGTTGCGATTTCTAAAATTTCATGTTCTGGTGAAATTTGTTAATTCTTGTTACTAAAATACTGTATGCTGTAAATGTACATATAACATATGCTTTCAGAATAATGTATTGCTGGAAAAGGCAGTAAAGATGGGGAAACCTGAAGGCAGCAGGAACAGTGGAAGGCCAAATTGAAGATGAAGCGGCAAGCTCAGAAACCTAGCATGTTGGAAAAAGGAGATGGGGAATCATTTCCTGCTTTGCTAAGGTCTTCCAAAATGAGGATAGTTTTTTCTTCTTATGGTGATGTTTGTCATTATATGCCATCAAGTCACTTCTAACCTATGGCGACCTTATGAATTAGTGACCTCCAAGAGCTCCTCTTCCGCTCTTGCAAACTCAAGAGCATGGCTTCCTTTAATGAGTCTATATATCTCTTACTTGGTCTTCCTTTGTTCCTGTTCACCTTCAACTTTTCCAAGCGTTGTTGTCTTTTCCAGTGCATCTTGTCTTCTTATGATGAGCCCAAAGTATGACAGTCTCAGTTTAGTTATTTGTGCTTTTCAAGAGAGTTCGGGCTTACATTTGATCTAAAACGTATGTATTTGGTCTTTCTGGCAATCCATGGTATCAGTAAAGCTCTCCCCCAATACCACATTTCAAATTAATCAATTTTTTCCTGTCAACTTTCTTCACTGTCCAGATTTCACCTGTATATATTAATTGGAAATATCATAGTGCAGACAGTTTCTGCCTTTGTCTCCAGCCTCACATCCTTGCTCTTGAGGATCTTTCATATTTTCTTCATAGCTTCTTGCTATGAGAAACTCCCCAACCCACCCTGAAATTGATTCATATGAAATGTAGTGTTGGAAGAGAGGCTAGTAAAAAAAAATCTGCAGACTCATAATCACTGTTGGCTTAATGACAAGGCTGACATAATTACAGCTGGGTTATTTCCCAATTTGGTTTTCCCCTTCTTCTTACAGTGGGGGAGGGATTTTTAAAGGTATGCAGATTTCATTTTAGTGTTGTACACTGTGTGCAAGTTTTGTGTGTCCAAGATGAGTTATATGTATCTGTGTTTTGAAAAACCTGAGTTGTGTTAATTGTTAACATTTTCCAGATATAACATTCATTTCTCCCTCTTAATTCAGCTAGGTGACTTCTATCTTGAACTTCACTGGGATTTTCAAAGTTGGGGTAAGTATTATGACATCTTAAAGAGACTGATAGCATTTCAGCAATTTGACACAGTCGTGCTTAGACTTGACTGGCTATATCTGATTTGATGTATAAAATCTATATATCGTTGTTACAAAATATATGCTCTGTTTTTAAAGTCTTTGTTCTTAAAGGTATTGTGCACATTATGAATTAAAGCAGTGCAGATGATGCTGTCAAGTAAAAGCAGTATCTCACCAGGTCTGTTCTGATCTCAGTCTGGTGTCAATCCTTAAAGCATAAAGATTCACAAAGGAGGGAGCTCTGTGCATTTCCCTGAGGCATAGAAGTTCCTTTTTATTTGAATCCCCTTTGAGTTCCTTTTTACCTTTTCAGTGCTAATGATAGTTACCATTTTGTGTACACTTGGATAAATCTTTCCCATGATTTTGAAACTCCTTCTAGGCATGGTTTTAATCTGCATCTTGCATTCAACTCAGTGAACGCGAATAGTTTGTGTGTGCTGAAAAGTGCAGGGAGAGCAGTTGGGACAGGTAGGGAGGGAACATATGAGCCTCAGGATACTCCTAGACTCTTAATCACAGTTCAAGGTTTGGCAGACATTGTGGTTGTTCTCTTATGTAGTCAGAATATAACATATTAATGCATTGAGGGGTAGAGTTCCACATGCATGCAGGGATGAACTCATGTGAGAGAGGCGGAGCCCTGCCCGTGGTTTTTGAATTATTTGATGTACTGTATGCACATCTTCCTTTATTGTAGAATGTTATATTATAAGAAAACTAACAGCCTGTCATATTTGTTAAATACAGTGCCTTTACTTTCCCGAATCCTGCCTTCTGATGCATGTAAAATATACAAACAAGGTATAAATATCAGGTAAGAATAATTTTCAGTTTTGGGTTATACTAAAGTTGATAAATAATTACAGTGGAACCTCTACTTATGATCTTAATCCGTCCCAGAAAATGTTCGTTAGTTAAAATGTGTGTAAGTAGAAGCAAAATTTCCCATAGGAATGCATTGAAAACTGATTAATCCACCCCAGCTGTTTTTTGTTCTTATGTAGAGGCGCCATTCTTAAGTCGAAGCAAAGGCAGTTAATCTGTCCTCTACCACTAGGGGGAGAATTTTTCTTCTTTTGACCTAAGATGAACTTAGGTAAAAAAAAGGGCAAGAAAGGCAGGAGAGGGTGAGGGAACATCTTCTAAACAGAGCACCTTTAAAAACAAGCACCTGCAAAGCCAAGCCAAGCCAAGCACCTTTTAGTTAAAAAAGGGGCAGGAAAGGAGGGAGGGAGGGAACAATGGGGAAAGAGGAAAGAAAGTCTTCACTGGGGTACACAGTCCCCTCAGACAAAGCTTTGTGCTTTTAAGCACAAAAAGAGAGAAGACAAAGAGAAGACAAGGGGGGGGGAGAGTTTGGAGGCTAAAACACATTTTAAACCAAAACAAGCAACTTTAAACCCCACCCACCAACACCTTATAAAACAAAAGCGAGGTCACTTAGCTTTCAGTGTCTTCTGGAGGACATCATGGTGACTTCTGGCTGGAGGATGGTGAGACGGTCATCACTGCGAGGTAGAGGTCCCCTCCTCTGAGTCTTCTTCTCCAGGGGTTTCCTCTTGCTGTCTCTTGGCTGCAGGCTCCATCTGGGTGAAAAATCTGTCCAATTTTGTCTGTTTCATCTTGCAGATGGATTTTATCTCTTTGCTGCTAACATGTGGTGCCTCTTCCTCAGTGGAAAGTTCCTTCACAAAAGCCTTGTGACTCCTTTTGCCACATCAATGTGTTTCAAGACATCTTCTTTAATATGGTGCCGATGATTGACTTTGCCCTCTTGTATTCAGCAGCCAGTTCTGTCACAGACATGCCAGTTTCATGCTTTTTGCTGGTGTCCTTTTTTGTTTCAATGGAGATGATATATTTTTTTTTGCCTTTGCTCTGTTCTGTCTTTGGAGCAATGACTGTGTACGGTTCAGCATACCACAGTACACAAACCCTAAAAGGCACAGACTCCAGCAACCATTATTCAAGCCCCTTATCACAAAAAAGACCATGGGGGGGAAGAGACTTGAGTCTAAACTCCATTTTAAAGCCTGCTTGCACCAACAGTCAGCAACCATTATTCCAGCACAGAACTCATCTCAAAAAGAGAGCATAGAGGGGGGGGAGACCTGAATCTAAACTCCATTTTAAAGCCTTCTTGCACCAACAGTCAGCAACCATTATTCCAGCACAGAACTTCTCATCACAAAAAGAGAGGGGCGGGGAGACTTGAGTCTAAATTCCATTTTAAAGCCTGCCTGTCTGGCTGCCTGCATCTACAACCACCACAGCCGCTCACAGAATATTTTCTGATTTTAAAATAGACTTTAGAGCCACATTTTAACCACACACATTTTAAAACTATAATCTACAGTGCAAGACCGATCAGAGCACAGAAGCATAACCCCCCACATAGCCCTAGCCCCCCACCAAGCTGCAAAAAACCTGTACAGTACAGTAAATACAGTGTACTCACCCAAAACAGGCAGCTTTCTGTTTTAAAAACAAAAGTCAAAAATCCAAAAATAAAAAGCCAAAAAAAAAACAACCAGTCTGTACAGCACAGTACCATGCAGTACTGTATAGTACCAGGCAATAACGCAGTACCAGGTTGTCTGAAGACTCTCTCCCTATCCACTCTCTAACTGCTTGAACGAACAAGGTAGCAGACAGACACCCTCTTCGCTGGCCATCGGTTAACTGAAAGTTCAAATTTCACGCTTTCCCTGCCTCCACTGCAGGTTTTTTTTTGTTCGTATGTAGAAGCTCTGTTAGCAAATAGAAGCAAAATTTTGTGAATGGAGCTGTTCATAAGTTGAAATGGTCGTAGGTAGGGATGTTTGTAAGTAGAGGTTCCAATGTATAACATTTTAGACTTAATCCTCAGTTTTGCTTCTGATCTATCTTCAGTCATATTTCATAACCTGACCATTTCAAATGCTGTTGGGCATAGGTGAGAAGGGCAAGAGTTTCTGAGAGAGAGGCAAAGGGGGCGGTACACAGCACATTCAGTGGGGTTTTTGATTTGTGTTTTTTTTTATAGTCTTCCTAAATGATTCAGAAAGCTGCTCCTGGAGGGTGCGGGTGCTTCAGACTGGCATTCAGTGCAACTTATGGTTGATGAATCAGAAAGGAAAATTGGTGTGTGCTCATGCATTTGTGCACACACTTATCCAAACATAGCTATGTGTTGAAATATGCTTGTAGGCCTTTTTTGAGCCTTGCCTTTGAGAATTATATTAACGTAATTAGATACAGATTCTAGAAGCAATGAGATACATGGAGCTATGCATGTTCTTTGCCACTTAGTCCCACATGCACAACTAAGTGTGATGTGACCCTTAGTTGATTGTAGAAATACCTTTTGTTGGCATAAGAACTCTCATATTCTCCACTGCTTAAATTATTCATTAGATTTATCCTGTAAAGTGGCTTACTCTAAACCATTTAATGTGAGTTTGAGTGCATTTGGCTTTTCAAAGCTAGAGCTTTCTTGGGGACCATGCTTAGTTCATTTTCCTGCATAGTTGAATCTTAAAGGAATTGTCTAAATTCAGAAGAAAGTCCATATGCGTGTGTGTGCTTACACACACACACACCACACACACACACACACACACACACACACACACACACACACACACACACACACACACACACACACACACACACACACACACACACACAGATTGTTTTCAACAGAAAAATTAGAAGTAGGTCAGTGACAATGTACCTAGGTTAGGAAGCACATACGTTCTTTTAAACAGCTGATAATAAAACTACCATTAAAAACTGTTTGGAGTTTTCTGAATGTTTGGCTGCCTATTCAGTATTTTAAACAACTCAAGATTTTTAACTTTAAACAATGCAAAGTCCTTTTGCATTTCTGTTGAAATAAAGATCTTGTTTCTGGTTTCTATCAAATGAGATAACATCTCTCCCCTCCCAAGATTTAGATTTAAGGAAGGTATTCTCTGTAAGGGTGTAGCTACACAATGGGAAAGATGCAAATGGAAGTTGCACCCAGAAAATTGAGTTTCCCCATGCAAATTTGCTTTGGCCAGCCACATAGGAGTCAGCAGAAAGAGAGGCTCAAAAGCCGTGTTTGCAGCTTGTTAAGGTGGCAGTCCTGATTTGCCGAAGGCATGATTAGAACAGAGCTTCCTGAACAAGCTGGAAAGAAGTGCTTATTTTTCTTGTTTTCTGTTAACTACTTGCTCTTTTTTTCTTTTGATCTCAGCTTATGCCAGTCTCTGTTTGCTACCAAAAGTGTAGAAACCTCAGGGACAGAGGAAAAACATTTCCAAGTGGGGAAAATTTTGGGGTGATTTGCATTGACTTTTACACTGTATAGCAAACAGAAAATAATATGACTCAGTCCATTTCAATCCTGGAGCATTTCATGTTTTATTTGCCAATTTAATCTTCTCCTTGTATTGGGAGAATATCTGAACCATCTGAAGTGTTAAAATGTTTCCACAGGCTTGACACAACACTTATAGATTTTACTGACATGAAGTGCCAACGAGGGGACTTGAGCTTCATTTTCAATGGTGATGCTGCACCCTCTGAATCCTTTGTAGTTTTAGACAACGAACAAAAAGTTTACCAACGAATACATCATGAGGTAGGCCACAGTATTTTTTTAAGTATTTCAAAGTATTACAGAATGTTTTAAACAAAATGTTTTAGAATGCACGCTTAATGTTTTTACCCAAATGATTGCAGTACCTTGTGGTCTATTTTATTTGTTTGTTTGTTTGTTTGTTATACTGCTTTCTGAAGAGAAATTGATTGATTGATTGATTGATTGATTGATTGATTGATTGATTGGAAATGTGCTTTTCTATTTGTAAGCAGCAAGCCTACAATCTTTAATATTTTTATTTAGGTGTGTATGAAGTTCAGCTATAAATCTAGTTCAGCTATAAATCTAGTAAACAGAATTGTCATATCTTAAGGGAATGGCTTTACAAGATAATTACTTGACAGCTCATTGCAAACTGCTGAATATGTTAAGCTTCTGGATTCATAGTACCCTTCTAACATGCCTTTCTGTATAGCAATATCATTTAATTTCACTTGACAGTAATACAAGGTACATCTAGGTCAGCCTTTTTAATATCTGGGACTGCACTTCTGTCAGCTCCAGCTACTGAGGAGGTAATTGAAGTCCAAAATAATTGGGGCATGGGGGGCGGAGATTCCAGGCACGGAAACACTGATCTAGAGTCTGAGTAGAACAGAGGACAAAAAGAGAGGGATATCATAGTTCTCTTCCAGTAGAAAGAAGCCAGATTGAAAGTGCAGTTAGTCAAGAGCCTAGGAATTCGGCTTAATTTCCCAGTAATGCACTTTATATCAACAGAAGACAAGATGCTTAAGGAAGTTAGTTGATTATTGGAAGGCTTATAGTTATTTGAAGTGAGAGTCAATGCGATAGAACACTTCTATTTAAGTATATCTGTGTGTCCGTGTTTGTGTTAAACCATGGAACTCTGTGCTTTCTTTCAAAGGAATCTGAAATGGAAACAGAGGAAGAAGTTGACATTTTAATGAGTAGTGATATTTATTCAGCAACATTATCAACCAAATCAATTACCTTCACACGTGCCCAGACAGGATGGCTTTTCAGAGAAGATAAAACAGTAAGTCTGTTTTTATTTGAGATATGATAGGGAGTGAAAGTAGGATGTAGATTAGATTCCTGGTCATGAAGCCATTCATCTGCTGGATGATGTCCTTCATCATGGCTTTGATGGACACAGTGGGGGAAGGCTCATCCGCAAAGTGTCCTGCAGCTGGCAGTTGAGGAGGCTTCTCCCTCCCTCTTCCTGACTTTGGGAGACAAGAAAGACAGAGATTTGTAAAGCCACTTACCCTTGATCTCCCAAGTGCTGGCTACATGAACTCTCTAGCAGTTGGCACTTTGTCACACTTGTTGGCTAGTGCTTCTGGAGAACTCCTGCTATCATATCCCATTTCTGATGGGAGGTAGTAATAGGGACTCCCTTCTCTTAAGAAGGGAGCAGGATATTAAAGTAGGGAGAGAAGTTTGGGGAGGGTCCCAGGCTAGTAGGGGACCTCCTTTGGGGCTAGATTCTGATACTTTGGGGGGTTGAAATTCCTCTGTCTTCCTTTAAGATACCCATTAATTCAGTGCTACCATATCCCAGAAAGACTGCACTAAAGAAAGCAGATTTAATTAGACTGTCATGCTTCCAGTCCCCAGTCCAGACTGAAGGGAAGGAGGCTGTTGAGGGGCAGAACTGTAGCCAGAAAGCTGCTCCTAGTTATACTTGTGGAAATGGGAGCGATTGAGGGAAGGAATATAATAGGTAGACAATGGTTTAAATCCAGAAGAACCATATATACTCAAGTACTGTATAAGCTGACCCGAATATAAGCTGAGGCACCCAATTTCACCACAAAAACTGGGAAAACTTACTGACTTGAGTATAAGCCGAGGGTGGAAAATGCAGCAGCTACTGGTAAATTTCAAAAATAAAAATAGATACCGATAAAATTACATTAATTGAGGCATCAGTAGGTTAAATATTTTTGAAGATACTGCCCTTCTGAGCTGCGAGACACACTTCACTGCCTGCTGAGGGAGGACTCATACTGGATGCTGCTCTTTTCTACTGCTCTACTGCTGTGTAACAAGATGGAGGAGGAAGGAGGGAGGAGGGAGGCGGGTACATAGAATATGCAGGAGGATGAGGATGGGAGTGTCCTGGAAGCGGAAATGCACCCACAGAGGCTGCAGACGCCCGTAGATGAGCAGGGAGTCCTGAGAACACCCGCACTGCAGGGGTGGCGCAGTGGTTAAAACGCTGTACTGCAGCTAAAACTGTGCTCACGACCTGGGGTTCAAATCCCAGGTAGCCGGCTCAAGGTTGACTCAGCCTTCCATCCTTCCGAGGTCGGTAAAATGAGTACCCAGCTTGCTGGGGGGGCAATGTGTAGCCTTTATAATTAAAATTGTAAACCGCCCAGAGAGTGCTTGTAGCGCTATGGGGCGGTATATAAGTCCAATAAATAAATAAATAAATAAATAATTTTGACACTGACTCAAGTATAAGCCGAGGGGGGGGGCTTTTTCAGCAAAAAAATTTGTGCTGAAAAACTAGGCTTATACTCAAGTATATAAGACACAGAGCAGCCCCATTGAGTCAGAGTGGATTTGGTGAGTCAGCTCCTGCATACGTTCTGTTGATTTGGTGGGCCTCCTCTAGTTGTAGCTTACTACTGAATTTCTGCCTATAAGTTGTAAGGACAAAAGATGATAATAAATGAAAAGATAGACAATAAATGGCAAGTCTGCACCAAGCAGCGGTGTTCTATGTATGAAATGCTTATTTTATTTTATTTTGCAGGAAAGAGTTGGAAACTTTTTGGCAGACTTCTACCTGGTTAATGGGCTTGTATTAGAATCAAGGAAAAGACGAGAACATCTCAGCGAAGAAGATATTCTTCGAAACAAAGCTATCATGGAAAGCTTGAGTAAAGGTGGGAACTTGATGGAACAAAATTTTGAGGTACAGTTAAACTTTTACAAAATTGGGCTTTCAGCTACATCTGACCAGTGAATACAGAAACATATATTTGATGGAGAGTGAAACATTGGCAGTAAAAGAGCTCCCTTGCATGTGCACAAAGGGTTAAGAGTCACCACTGCCCTGACACCGCCCTGCTCTGCTTTCCTTGTGAAACTCCCCGAGTTTCAGTGGAGGTTTATGAGACCCTCTCAGAAGCAAGGGTCTTTCAAGTCTCAGAATACTATGAACCTAACATGCAAGCCTTTGGATTGGGGACTTTGCGGGTAACTAAATAATAGTTGTGGTCATTTACCATATAAAGGGTTCAAATTTGTAGCACTTCTTTGAAGTGGACTAGTGTAAATATCTTTATTTTCTGTAAGTGATATCAAATGGGAAATTCTGGATTATATTCCAATTGGTTGTAACAGGCCTTTTTTGTTTAAATTATTGGGTTTAGTAATTGGGTATATGAGTGTCTCATTTACTTGCCCAACACCTCCTAGTTCTCTTAATCTGTTTGTATTTATAGGCTGTGTATACTTCCCATTTCTTTTAACTGGTTAGTGTCATGACTGAGGCCTATTTTATTTTTTGCCAAGATGCTGAAATATTATAGATTCATTTTTTATGTGTTACTTTCTTTTGCCCTTCAGAGGAGACTTAGTGTCTCCTGAATAGTTAAATACAGATTTAAGAGAATGTTTCACTTCCAAAACTACTGGCTGGAATCCTGTTACGCAACTCTGTATGCACAGCATGAAACTAGTTTGTGCCAAGGGACTTCCGAGTCTACCTAACTCTTCAGGTTAATTCACATCTCATATCTCCAACCAGTATGGCCAATGATCAGGAATGATGGCTCTAGCAACATTGTGAGGGGCCAGTAGTTCCCCTCTCTGGTCTTAAGGAAAATACCCTTATGCCTGCTATTAATTTATCATATTGGAAGACTTTTGCAAGTATCCAGTAAAAGCAGTGTGTTTGAAATATAACATTTGAACCATGCAAAATGCCTTTATGAGATATTTTCTTAATTAAATATCTCAGTTCCACCTCTTTGGGCCATTGGAAAAAATTCAGTTGTCAATACACCATTAAAAAGAAACCTAACAAAAGACATGTTTAGTAAAACATGGCAAGTATATGCTTCCATGGATTCCAGTGGTTTATAGGTGGTCTGCTGCTTATTGTGGTATTAGTACATTTGAACCAAATTATCTGTTTTAAAGTTGGAATACATGTGCTGGGTGGTTAGGTGGCCCAACTATAATAATGGCTTAACCCTGACTATTTGATGTTTCGTGACACATTTTATCTTGGGAGTTGCTGAGTGATGTACAAATGTATGTATACAAAAGATGTGTAATAATAAAATTATATATGCAGTTTTGTCATATACTGAACATTCCTTGGTGGGCATATGCATGAAGCTGCCACCTGATCACTTACTGCCAGTAGGAATTCTAACACTCAGATTTATGTGCTGTCACTCAGAACTCTTAAAAATGTACATTATCTGTTGACTGAAATCATGTTGTGGCAAATGGCCAGTGATTAAAGGTGATATCACACAATGCAATAAGGTCACATGCACCTGAAATTCCCAGAGGAAGCCTTTGGTCAGTGCTGATTTGCTGCTGTTGCTGATGTCATCACTGTTGCGCAAGTGGAACTGTGAAACAGGATTTCAGCCATTAGATTTATGACTATTTTTAGATACTATTAATGCTGTGCAAGAACTGTGTTTTTGCCATCTCATATATTTACTTACATATGCCATTTTAAGGTTTAGAGCTATAACTTTGGGTGAGATTTGAAACAGAATTCAAGTAAAAGCCCGTGAGTTGACCCAGGATTTTGCCCTATTCTGGCTGTAAGTTGTCAGTTCCTAATAGAGAACACATGAAGATGAGTGTGTAGTACTTAGCAAATTTAACCTATTCTTACCTGTCATCTTGGCTTTTAGGATGATCTCATACATAATTAACCTTCATTGTCTAACCATAGTTGTCTGTTCAGCTACAACTGTAGAATGTTTAACTGGCCTGTTTTTGGTCATTTCAGACTGGTTTTATATATTACTATTTTATTCAGCGTAGCAAGTTTGATACCCCTTGGAGGAAATGGGACATAGAGAGGACATTTATTCCTAGCTTGCAAAGCTGTTTGTGCTTACAAAGCATATTGTGTTCTCTTTGAACAGCCTGTCAGGAGGCAATCTCTGACGCCACCTCCACCCAACACAATCACATGGGAAGAGTACATATCTGCAGAAAATGGAAAGTGAGTATTGACTCCTGTAGTTCTAGGTATTGCTGTATGTAGCTAAGGTTATTTGCTCAGTATGTAAGGGGCTGAATGTTAGTAGGACTCAGTAACTTTCCACTTTTACTAAATAATCAGATTGTCTGGGATGTTTTGTATTTATGCCAGTTTGGTTTTATATATTATTATCTGTTTTAATTTATTTTTATTGAGTTTTTTTTAGAGTAGCATCTGAGCAATAGCTGCAATAAAATGCCTTCTCAATTAGGGTACATGGAGGAATCGAATAGCTTCTCCTCTGAACCACACATACATGTTGTAGAGTGCACAGCTATGAAAATTAATATTGTGTCACACAGGCTGTTAACAGCCAAATTGCTTGTATAAGAAGCTGTCCTTCTTTAAACCCATAGTACTTGTTTGGTGTATCTAGTTTAAAACTGAGTATGTGAAACCATTATTCTCTTTAACACCAGGGAGCTACATTCCAGTACATGTGGACACAGAAATACTTAGCATTTGCGTTGATCTGCTTTTAAATTTTTTTGTTGATCACAGTGGGATATAATTAACCAAATAGCCTCAGTCTCTCATGGAAATCAAATAGATTTAATCATGTGAAACATGTTCATATTTGGTTTGGGTGGTTTTTTTAATCCAAAGCAAAAGTAATATGACAGGAACTACCATTATTTAGAAAACCATGCAGGTTCTTTTGAGTTTCCCAGGGTTTCATTTTCTGTTTTTGGACAGCAACCATCAACACCCATTTTTGAATCACCGTTTGATTTAAATTGTGGGGAACTGTGTGCAAGAGGGGGAGAAACAAAGTGAATGAATGCTGGTTGTTGGAAATCTCTATGCATAATTCCCATAATTAAGCCCACAATTTAATGTTAAACTACCTCTGGACTTTGATTGATAAGAATAATGGAAACAGAGTTCTGTGTAGTTGAAGTGCAACAATTTTTATTTTAACTTCCAAGCAATTTTCTACTTAAGTTTGATTGCATAATAAGTTACATGTTATACATATTCACCACTGTCTTGCTATTTTCACATACATTACCCAATCAAAAGTACTTGTTCATATGTGGGAAGAGTATGAGGTGGTCAAAGACTTAGAAACATAAGTCCATCCATTTTGCTTTTTGGTTCTGGGAATTTTGTTGATGCCATTAACATGGCTTTATTTTGGAAAACATGCTTTTTAGTAGATAAAGTCCTATGTGTCACTGTTCAAAAAGTGTAACTCCAAAGGTAAATATTAAAAACAACGTATAAGCATCTGAACAGGATTTTACGTAAGGAGGTTACAGCTGAATATGAAGATGCTAAATTTCTTCCAACACGTACACAGTTACCTAGAACGCATTGTCTACTCACAGAAATTAAACTTGAATCCAGCTATATCTGTTTTAGGAGTGAGCAATGTTAGTGGTTCTGAATGCCAGTTTTCTGTCGCTTTGTTCTTCAAGGCAAAAAGCTGGTGGGAGGAACAAAATGGCTAAAATACCCGTTTGGAAAAACTGGTATTTTTTATGTCTAGAAGTGTAGGAGCTTCTGCAACCTATTAAAAGATGACCTGCTGCTCGTGGAGACTTCCAGTAGTGCCAATCCATCTTTCTTTGCTTGAGGAAAAGCTTCTTCTTTTTGCAGGGGCCAGGAAAGTTTGATGCATGCCTGTGACACGCCAAAGCCTCCCTTAGCAAAGTTGTCACTTTTTACTAGTAAACAGGGTCTCCTTGGATCAGACCCTGCTGTCACCAGTATGTTCTTTCACAATGTTGTCTCAGCATACTTGAAGCCCCTGGCCTCCTTCAGCCTTAAGTTCATTGTATGGAAGATTTTTATTTAAGTCTTTTGTAAGGACTCAGTGCTGATAATGTTTTCACCAGAGATTCCTAAACTGGAAACCTTTCAAGAATTACTTTCTTCTTCTTCTTTTGTATTTCAAACTTGAGCTGTGACCAAGCAGCCAACTTGGGTGTTTATGTGATGTCTGCAACTAGAAAACACTAACAGAACACTTCTGAAACAGTATGAAGGTTTCTTTCTCAGACAAGAGAAGGTAGTCTGAGCAGCTTTAGATACTGGCCACCAAGTTCTAATTGTTCACCATATGAAGTCCTATTAGTGTATGTCTATATTACTTCCTTTTTAACAGAGTTCTGTTGCGATACAGTAATCTTTTAGAGGCAGCTCACCAGTTTGATTGCTACTATCAGAAGTCTTCCAGGCTTCGTTATATAACTTTTATCAACCTATTTTCTTGTACAGCAGAAATGCAATGCAATGTTTTATTGTATTACTTCTTTAGAGAAGTTTTAATTTTTATTTTCTTCAACTAGAGCACCTCATTTGGGTAGGGAACTCGTCTGCAAAGAAAGCAAGAAGACATTTAAAGCCACAATAGCCATGAGCCAAGAATTTCCTCTAGGAATTGAATCGTAAGTCTAAATGACTGCATGCATTTTTGAAAGGACATGTGATAAATGTGAGATATATTGATAAATACAAACTTGTGCTTATTCCAGAGATTGCAGTATAATATATTTTCATAGAAGAAGCAACTGTTGTCGGTAGAATTAGAATTCTTATTGCTGTATTGCATAATAAGTAACATCTGTACTCGAGCTCTCAGATGTTATATCACGCATCACAGCATTTACTTCTGACTAAGAAACTATATATAGTTTTAGCTGGTTTGCTGGCCACCCAAAAATGTGTTCCCCTCTCCCTGAGTGGCAGGAGCTATCTGTGACCTTGTGCTACCCTTCATCTCTCTAGTACCCTGTTTCCCTGAAAATAATATCTAACCTGAAAACAAACCCTAGTATGATTTTTCAGGATGCTCGTAATATAAGGCCTACTCCAAAAATAAGCCCCAGTTAAGTGAACCCTGCCTTCCACCATCCGGCGGCAACAAGAAGTTGACATGACTATATTTGAATAAATGTAGATTGTTGTACATGAAAAAACAAAACATCCCCTGAAAATATGCTCATGTGTTTTTTGAAGCCAAAAATATAAGACCTTGTCTTATTTTCAGGAAAATACGGTAGTTAAGCTTGAAGCTAGGAAGGGACACTGCCCAATGCAGAAACTAGCCTCCATTCCCTTAACAACTCATATTTGGAATTGGGCAGAAGTGGGTGGGCAGAAGCTTGCTTTGACACTGAACATATCAGGCTGGCTTCCCAACTAAGGGTGCTCTCAAGGGTAGGGACAGTGGCAATCTCCTTCCTGTCCCCTTCCCACTGGGGGATAGTGATGACAAGAGTTTTTTGTTTGTTTGTTTGTTTTTTCGGCTGTGATCTTTCACTGATGCCTAGCAGATGCAGACCCAGAAAGATTCAAGGCTTCAGTCATAATTAAATGCTGGAAAGGGGTTTATCACCTGTAGCTTCAGGGTTCGGAGGAAGCCCCAGATTGATCTTCTCCAGTGCTTGGCTGACCATGATAAATGGTCAAGCTGGGTTATATTTCAACAGTGTACCCATTCCTCCTTCAGATTTTTTCTTAAGCACAGAATTGGTGCTTCTCAACTTGTATAGAGAAAAACTATATCTAGTTTAGTACACTCTTTCAAGGAAAACTGTGGGACAGATCCATGTTGTATGGACTAAGAAATCTGTAACAGAATCAATCAATCAATCAATCAATCAATCAATCAATCCAGTCATTTTGGATTTTCTATTACAAATCAGGCATGATCATCCAGGACCAAGCACAGCAGATGGAATGCTAGGTGCAGCACTACTCTGAGCTATATATATTCCAGAGAGAATGTAGTAATTGAAGAGGCATTATATAACATGAATGCCTGCCTGTCTTGGAAGAGTTGGACAGCGAACAAACTTTAGCAGAAATAAAGGCGGCCTTGGATTCTGTCACCTCCAGCGAGGCACCTGGGAAGGATAATATCCCTGCTGAAGTGCTGTAAAGAGATCATCACCACCGAGCTATACGAAATCTTTTGTCTTTGCTGGAGGGAATTTAGAGTACCACAGGACATGGAGGATGCAAACATTGTCACATTGTATAAGAACAAAGGAGACAGGGGCAACTGCAATAACTACTATGGCATCTCTCATCTCAGCGTTGTAGGGAAGCTGCTTGCCCATGTTGTGCTGAAGAGACTCCAGGTGCTTGCAGACAAAGAGTCTATCCAGAATCTCAGTGTGGATTTCGAGCTAATAGATCCACCAC